ATTATATTTTGGAATTTGCTTGGAACAGATTTGTACCAAATTTTTCCAATTCATTTACATACAATATTTCTATCGGGAAGCACAATGCACTTAAATTTGCTGGACAACGCTGTAAATGACTGGCCCTCAGCCTTGACTAAGTTCGAAGTGTGATTCGAACTAATTACAAAATTCCGCGACTTTACTTAAATCTACTTAATGTTAGCATTGTTTTCAAAGACATTTTCGTACATTCCCACAGCAGGAAAAAGCAGTGCTTCATGCCGACGAACATCCACAACGTCCTGATTGAAAGAAAAAGTATGTAATAGTGACAAGTTATACATTGGTACTGCACTTAGGACCGAGAAAAAGCCGCACCCGCAACCCTGCTATATAAAAATAAATGCGAGATGTTTCCCCTGGCCTGTACCTTTCTTTAGTGACTTGCACTCCACTTCATACCTGAAGTAGAATTAGAAATAAGGAATATTGCTGAGGTGAAAGAAGAAGGACATTTGATGGGATTAAAAATATGTTAAGTCAATGATTTTCCTCATGAAAATGTTCGAAACTATTATGTTATCTAAAGTAGAAAAGAATCGAAAAATTTTGAAAATAAATCTTGGTTTTAGTTTTACTTAAAATGTGTCAGCGATGGGTGGGTTGTACAAAATTTGCATTATAAAGAATCGAGGTCTTTCGCTTTTTCTTTATCTCTCGCTGGCCATCGATTTTAATGAATTTAGTGCAAATCGTGTATTTACGCGCAGTAACCAATAGACTTGGCTTGTAAATCTAATTTCCACATTTTCCAATGGTTACCGGTAAAAATATATATATATATATATATATATATATATAATAATAATAATTTACATACGCGTATATTTGCTCAGGCATACAAGCATAACTAAATAGACGTTTAATAGGCTGAAACAGAAAAAGCAAATGGCGCTCATTTAAATGCATATGAACGATATACAAACGTATTTGCGTTGCATGGATGTAAGCATTGCATTTCAACTTGTTGTTACGGTGGTTCCGCAATGAATTCATTGCAAGCACTTACATGTCGCGCACAAACACATGCCAAACGTATAAGCACCGTAAAGTCTTTACAATTCAAAAAACTGAAATTGCTTGCATGTTGAATATAAGCAATAAGCAAAAATTCATATAATGACTAAATTCAATATAAACATATTTTTTTTCTTCATTTAATTTTTTATTTTTTTTTATTTTTTTTTTTTTTGCTGATGTGCAGCAAATTGTTTTTCATTGTTTGTCCTATACGGAGAAAGGCGAGCGCAGTATACATGCAATATTTAATATATGGTGATATAAAAAGGTAAAATTAAAAAAAAAAAAAAAAAAGCAAAACAAAATTGTTTTATTTATACTTATTTATCTACGTAGTCTCACAGACAGTATATGGCAATCGTTTAGTTTCGAGCTCATCTTAAAGGCATATTGTGTCGAAGAAGTGAAACCCTTTCGACATTTGGGAGAAATAAGAATTGAAGAGAAGCGAAGCGAAGAAAGGGTTTAGGTGGCAGAGTATGATAGAATTATTATTGTTATTAATATATATTGTGTCATGTTAAGAAACAATTTCAGCTTAAATGTCATTTAACGTTAATCACAAATGACATGAAATCGACCAACAAATGTCAGCAAGCAGCGTACGGACATACCGACAGACATCATATGATTGTTTATAGTTTTATACTCGTATAGAGAATATATAATAATTGCAATGATTATTGTCATTTATAAAATATTCCTAAACACAGAAACACATAATAATTTGTAATTTTATTACAATCAATTCGAATGTCATTCATTACATGTCGACTGGAAAGTCTCTTTATCAATTTTAATTTTAACTTAAACATTATTTTATTACCATTTTTGATTAGTTGGGTTCACATAAAATCACTGCATCATGCTAATTTATTACATCGTTGCGTCGATTGTTAAGGAAAATATTTTCTTTATTATATTATATTATATATATAGAAAAGTATTGCAATTGTTTTGATAGATTGACTCACAAAGTCACAATGAGATATTGTTTTGTGATCTATAAAAAAAAATTGAAACTTTACATGATAAAAAGATATAATTTTCAATATTTCATGGGTAAAATTGATTGTTAATAATAAATTGGCATAGAAATTAGCTTTACCGAGCGTGGACCACGTAGGCCCACTTTTTTGCGGACACCGCCACATGAAAAGCATTCTTAAGAAATGTAAACCTTTATAGACGAGAAGGTCTGCTTTGTGCTTGGAAAGTTTTTGACATAAACATTAAGTGGATTAAGATATTGGAACAGCATGGATTTCTCACGAACCGTCATCCCTTCATAAAAAAAAATTTACGTAATAAAAATTTAGCACAAAAATTAACGATAGAAAAGTTTGGATTACATAGGTCTATTTTGTAGAAAAGCAGGCCTTTATAGGGCGAGAAAATCTAATTTCCAGTTTCTTGCGTCGGGAACTCAAAACTGTAAGTAATTTTTTAGGAAATAAATTAAATTTGGTAAATTTCGGCCACGCCATATCATGTTTAGTATGTTCATCCATTATGTGGGCTTTCGCGAGAAGTATGCCATTCTATGAGAGCAGGATGTGATTTTTGGTCTATTGTTGCCAAGAGGAGCGAATAACTCTGCTAGGCTATGTGAAATAGGATATCTGTCGGCTTATCCCACTATAATGTTCTCACATATTTTCCTTTAGAATCTCGAGATACTGAAGCTTCTTGCGGTGTGGCAAGAAATTGCCTTCATAGTAAGAAATCTGAAGAAGGAGATGAAGTTTTCACACCGAACAAAAGTGATAAGAACCTTCTCTTTTTGTTGAACATTTCATCTTTGTTTCCGCGCAGACCTCAATCTCTAAATAACCGGATACAACTTGTAAAAATCTCTCGGGAAATTTGTACATATTTTGAGAAAACTGCAAACATATTGAAACATATTGATTCATCTTGGGGCAAATCTCTGAGAGCCACCACGAAATTTTAAGCTTGTTCCTTTAATTATGGATGTAAACGCAAAGTTTTCGTAAGATTACAAGATTACGAGGCAACAAACTTATTATTAATATTTTTTCTTTATTCATTTATTAAGTAACAATGAAGTACCTAGTTATATAGATACACATCATGTGCAAAAAGAAACTATAACGTAAATGTATGCAGTATATAGGTCACCTGTTAATGTAGTCATCTTGCTTCACAAACACCGTAATTCCTACTGGCAACAAAATGCACCGTATGAGTTTACCACTCTGGTCACTTTTCTTCTAAACGTATTCAAACAGTCCTCGAAGGGTTATAGACTCCGCGGTAACGCGGCTCAAATATTTATTAATACGAACAGTTCAGCTGATAAGTTAAGACAAAGGCGGTATTTATATGAAAACGTTTCTCTTCGATGTAGAGAACTGCAGGCGTTCAATTGAAACGCTTCGGGATCGAGTCTGAATGACTTTGTTGAGGTAAGTAAGCAACTTAATTTTAGTTAACCGAAGACGGGGAATTTTAAGAAAGCATCAACGAAGAAAAAGATTTGATGCTATAAACAAAACGTGCTCTACGGTTAACAATACTTTGAGGCATACATAAGTTATATTTTGAGCACCCAGAAAAGGCTTTAATCCGATAGTTAACATGTGTCATCAGGAGGGAATGCTCGCCATTTAGATCGTACAGGTTTCGAATACATTTTAAAATATAATAAATAATTAAGAAGTGGTTGAGTAAAATTGAAACAAAAATTAAATACAAATGTGGTTGTCATGCCACATCGTTTAATACAGTTACTTATAAATCGACTTCTTAGAATAAGGCCTTATATCGTGAGTGGTCGACAAAATGATTCTATCCGTTCGAAACATTTTCAATAGCGTTTGTCCTTGGGTCAGAACATATCGATGTACGAAATTTCGACATGCAATGAAAACAGAAATACATGGAAAGACATTGGACAGACAGATGGACAGAGAAGTTTGGAATGTGACTCTGAGACGGTCGTTGTTATAACAAAAGGAGGGCCTATCTCAGGTCCTTCTGGCTGTTATGTATATCAAGTTTCTAGCATATAATCCTTCTTGAGCTTCTTTCATAACTTTGTAGAATTATTTATTATTTTTAATCATTTTTATATAAATCGGCGTTAAACCGAATGCATAAAAAGTTTTTGAAAGATTGAGAAAATTTACCAAAGAGCAGAAAAATTGGCCGGCAGTTGGTCCATTGTCCTGATTAAAAATGTAAATAGATAAATAAATTATGGCATCTCTAGCCGAAAGGAGCGCCAAAACACAATACAACACTTTGCATTCGCATTCCAATATAAAAATATGGTCACTTTAAAAACATATGGAATAAGCGAAAATTATTTTCAAAAGAATGAAATGAAAAATGCCTCATTCTAAGTTTATATGAAGATGATTATCGTCTAAGCGTAATGGAGTAGAACAAACGATATCGAAAGCTCAAATTGCATGAAAAGCGGATATTTGATCAAGTTGGAACGCTGCTCAGTAAGTGTATTAAGTTACTCCCAAATATCTAACTTAGATCCTTTTACGATCATCTGATGGAATTGAATGAAGCAGAATACAAGAGTACATATATGTATATACGAGACTTCAGGGGAATAATATTAGAATAAGTGGCTTTTTCAAATTTGATGTTTTGCGTTTTTCTTTCGATGCGAACTTGCCGCCATCTGATTATCATCTACTTTGAAATTAGAAAAAATTCTTGCGCAAAGCTATCACTAGTGATGAGATGACTTGAATTTATATGAATTTCAGTTTTTCGCTGATAAGGACTAGGAGTTTGATGAGTGCGGTCTCGTCAATGTTAATCGCTGAAGATCATAAAATCATTGGATTAAGTGAAAGTAATAAGTGAGAAATTAAAATCATTTCCTTATATAGAAACGGAACGAAATTTATTTTTGAATTTTGTTCGTTTGCTAATCTCTGTCTTTAACTTACCGATACACGGCTTTCCTTTAAATCCAAACTAAAGGCAAGTTGTTCTCGCATAAATGCATCAGGATAGTGACTCACTAAAAACGCTTCCTCTAATTCTTCTAATTGCCACGCATTGAAGTTAATGCGGCATCGACGTCTTCTCGAACTATTATTACTCTCGTTATCATCACATGTTGAAGCTAAAAAAAAAAAAAGAAAAGAAAACATGATTAAAGACTATTAACAGAATAATAGAATAAAGGGCACAGAGAAAGAAAAATTCGACACACAATATCGTTTCCTTACTACTACCTTCCTACCCCCACAATGATATAAATAATAAGCACTAATAGGCAAATAGACCTACAGGCTGCAAGTTTGCTGGAATTACTTTGGTATCAAGCTATTGCCAGTGCAAATTGTGTCATCATAGTTTATTAAAAATTGAACTTATTTGTATTCCCAAGGCTTACTTCTCGTACGAATAAATGCATGAGGAGTGGTTCAAGAAACGGTTCCACTCGATCCAAAAATATTCTACTTTCATTATATATGTCGCAGTAGTGGATGCTACTTATTTTCGTTAAGAATTCTAAAAAAAATTGCAATTTCTATTTTCTTCACATAAAGACGATTTTAAATGCCTTAAATAGGCAGGGGTCTCAGTGGTTTTCATAGCGTTTGTCCTTGCACCAGAAGAATAAAACACGTTTGTCTAATGCTAGAATTTCAACCGGTAAGAAAGCGTTCAGACAGATGGACACACATATTTAAATCGGTTTAGAAAATGATTCTAAATTGATCGGTCCCGTTAAAAAGGTTCATACCATACGTTCATACGAACTCAATATGCGCTGTATCGCAAGTGGTGTAGCATCTAAAAGTATTTATCTTACAATTGTTTATAACTGAAGCCGTTATTTAATTCAAAATATTTTACATAATGAGAAAAATAATTGTTTGAATATTGGATTCGTTGCGATATGTATTGGTGTTAGGAATACTTATTGCTACCAGATATCCAAGCTAGAAAAGAAAAGAACAGCTTTGGACATTTGTGTCTTTCACATGTGGTGCTGGGGCCGTCTATGGGCCAATTCCGTTTTCATATTTACATATTCGGTCCATTTTCATGAAACGATTACAACAAAAATCGTTCGCTACAAGACGAACAACCAAAAAAAAGCCATTAAAATCTTTGTAAAGTGCATATTTATTTGGTCAGTGTAAAAGACACTGCTTTTGCGTGTCTCGTGGGGACCAAAAAAAAATTGCTGCCATAAATGCTGCTCGTTTGCCACTTTGTTGCTAGAAAATATATTTTTGTCTTGTGATATGTGTTCGTATTAGGATGTCTAATGTGTAAAACAAAGCGCAGCTTCAAAGATGTATGCACTCTATAGACGGTCTTTGGGGCCATCTATGCACAAGTTTCGGTTTCATACTTACATAGCTAGTATATAAGATTTCTGCTTATTATCCGAACGATAGATTTAAAATTAGATTAAACCAAAACCAACCAATAAATTTTTATTTTATCGAGATTTTTTTTATTGAGATCGGTAGATTTGTAATTTGTTCGAGTCTATTTTAAAATTTATATCTCTCTCCCTTGCTAACGCTGTATTTATTAAGGAGACAGACGAAAGTTATATAAAGTCGCTTAGCCACAACATGAGGGGACATACATGAATTGTGGCCGCGCCCATTATGCTAATATATTTTGTCGCGCTACTATCGGATGCGATATACTCTGATAACATAGTTACGCCATATCTTTACAACTCATTTGAATTATTAAACGAATATAAATAAATTTTTAACTTTTCCGGTTCGCCATATCTACACTTCGAAATTCACTCGGTAAGGTCGTCCATAACAAAGCGGCATTTGGTAATGAGAAGTGTTATTTGTATAAATAAATGTTGTTTGTGTATAAATGTGTGTAAATATGCGTACTTATATTTAACATTTGTGGGCTGTTTACGCTGCCATTTTATTTATGATACGCTTACAGTCTGCCCTTGCACGTTAGGTTTTCCATTCTTACTACGTTTTACACCTTGTAACGCTACTGAGTATATTAAGTTTGTGCGGATAAAGCGACCTAAGATGGATTCTACTATTATTTTTCAAATTTAGTATGGGTTAGGATCGTTTCTGAAACAATTCCAATTTGTATGTCTGTCTGTTTCACTATTCGTCTTATATCTGCCCAAGTGTTTTCACGTTCAACCAATAGGCTGCAATTTTTATAACATTTTCCCGAAATATCCGATTGAAAATAGATTGAATCGGACCATTTCTTCGATCATTTCTCCCATTATACGGGAAAAATAGGTAAGCGATAAATCGATAAATCGCATACAATCGCAACTAACAAATCAATTTTCGTGAGTTCCAACTACAGTCAGTGCTCAGTCGATAAAGACTTAACACTTATCGATTTGGGCTGATTTTCTTCTCTCTTTCCCCCTCTGATCTCACTGGTTATCGCCATATTACAGATATAGGGGACATCTTCTAAGTAGCACGTAACATTAAAAAATTTAAAAAAATACAAAATTGATGTGAAAAGTTAAGAACGGATATATCAAAATTTTGAATCTCTTCCCATATAAGCGCCACTACGGAAAATAAGGCTTTAAATAGCGAAATTATGAACTTTTTTGTCAATTGTGAATCCGGTCCACACTTAATTGTTAATCTAACATGGAAATGAATTATATTAAGTTTGGACCGTATATATTAATTTTTTTCGCTTGCGACTCCTATAAAACTTTTTATTAAAAGTAAATAAGTCTTTATACGACGATAAGGTTTATTTTGTAAGAGGATAAAAAGAAAACTAAGTTTGCTGAATTCGGGCCATGTTAGTTCATGTTCATGGGATCCCTCCCATACAAAGTCTGCTTATGCCTTCACAAGGTATAATATCTGATGTTCGATCATTATGTAAAGATTGATGAATTGATGTTGCCTGTTTAATTGTTAGCCTGGCCCGACTATAACGTTGTTACTTGTTTTTTAATATTTTTTTTTTCTTTAAAAATTCACAAAAAATGAAGTGACTCTTGAATATCGGAAGGTTCAGTTTCGATGCGGTACAATTTGTTTCTTGTTTTCATAGTTAAGATTTCTTAGTAATTTACTATAGATATCCTGTTAGCATAAACTGTAAACAGACAAATCGAGTAATGTGAATAATTTTTTCAATGCAATAGAAAGAATTCAAAATTTCATGTTTATTGCGTTAGTTTCGATGTGGAGGGAGAATGGATGCAAAATTGAAAAGACAACGTTTTAAATGCCACCCGCAAAACAACAACAGTTCGGGTTATAGTAGATTTACCAGACTAGAAAACTGATATACATATGTCTACATATATGTGTATATATTAATATATAAACCTTAATACATATGTACTTTTTCACTAGCTAGGCATAAATCTTATAAACGACAAAGGAGACGTAACAGATATGCAAATAAGGTTAACGTAGAGGGACAGGTAGAGAAACCGAACTAGTTTACTTGTGTTGCTCTTTATAATAATTTTTAATTTCAAAGATCGTTAAGCAAACAAACTCAAGTGGAACCAAAAATTACGGAAAATAACGACAAACATTAACCAAAGAACGCCACCACCATCAGTACCGACACAGCCAATCACCATCGCCGCAACCACCGCTATTACGTAGGCAATCTGGTCTGGTCTTTTTGTAGCGCGTAACACGCGCCCAAAACAATCAGTTACAAAATCATTATGCAGTTTACTTGATAAGCTAAAGCAAAGGTTTTTTTTTTTTTTTTTTTCATTTTTTTTATTAAATTTTTTTGGTTAAAAAAAAAAAAAAAAAAAAAAAAAAAAAAACAACCCTCAAAATTATCTTCGAGCCTTAGTGTAAATGATATTTTCCCAAAGGGACATATTTTGTTTTTAAAATCATTTAAGAAAAGCAAAATGAAAAAAATCCGTTAAAAATCTAAAGTAACCAACAAAAAAAAAAAAAAAAAAAAAAAAAAAACAAATATAATAATAAATAAGTGAAAATCCTATCGAAAAAAATCGAATAGTCTTTATCCCCTAGCGAAGGGTATATTAAATTTTTTAAGCTGTACGCATAGTCACCTGAATTATATATAATAAGATGACCTCTTTTTTGTTATTCTTCTCTTTTTTCTCTCCAATTTTTACTAGCTTCAGTTTAAACCTCCCTGGACTTGAAGCGGACAATTTGCGATAATAATTGTAACCTTAAGAGCAAAAGTCCACTACATATACTAGCTAACAGCTTAAAAGTGAAAAGCCCCCTCCCCCCCAAACCTAACAATTACAAAATATATCGATATTAGAGAGCGAGAGAGATATTAGATTCGCTTCTAGTGCCTAAAGTTCTCTAACTAGGATTTTCAAAAGTAGTATTACTATCTTATCTTCTATCGTTAGCAATCTGAATGCAAGGTACCGAAGGATTCGTATCAAGCTGAAAATAACTCTATTCTGGCGTTGTTGCTCTTTTTTTTGCTTTCTCCATTATTTTATTTAGACAAGAATTCGCTTTATTATATCGTTTTATTAGCCATTATTGTGGGTCAGTCAATACTTACAATTTTCTGGGTGTTTTGTTGTTTTTCTTTTCTTCTTTTTTTTGCTGTTTTTTACATTTTTTATTGTTGATTCCATGGGTTAATTAGAAGCTTGTCAGACGAAAAGCTTTTTTTTCTTCTTCGTGAGAAATTTATAGCTTTTTACACAATAAATTTATAAAAAAAAATTATTTAGAAAATTTATTATCATCTAATTAGCGAACTCTTTTCTTTTTTTTGTTTTTTCACAAAAATTGTTAGCGTCGTTTTTTTCTTGATAGGTTTTGTTGTGTAACCAATTGCTTTTTGTGTGACAGTTGTGCGCTGGCACACTCCTCAATTTTGTTTTTTTTTTTTTTCTTTTTTTGCTTACTTGTTAACCCTGTCATGTTTTCGTGCTCTATCTCTCTTTTGTTATATTTAAGCAAAAAAAAAAAAAAATTTTTTTTCTTTAGATTTCATACCTCGACTTATGTTAGGCTTAGAAAGAGTGTTAAATGATTGATGACGGTTTGGCTTTGTAATGCACGTCACATAGCATGGAATAATTTACATTTTACTCGCAAAATTCTGGGAAATTGTTCTCATGTTAGTTAGTTAATGCTTTCGAAATGAAAAGTGAAAAAATATACTTTAAAACCGTCTCTTCACATGAAACTGAGATGCGACTATCGAGATTGAACCTTTTGTATTATGCTATATTCTATTATATAAAAATTGACAGAATTCGAGCTCAAAGGAAGCAGCTTATCTCTTAAATACTCATCACAATTTTTAACTGGCGTGAAGTTAGCCCACTGTCCACATAGCCCATATTTTTCTCTCTGCTAAAAGGTGGCCTATCTTCACATTTGGTTCGTGTCTCTCTCTCTCTCTCTCTCTCTGTCTGCTAAGGCAATTGTTAAGTGGACGTTATTGAAAGAATAACTGAAAATGATGAAAAAAATTAATATACAAATTAAAAATAAAAACCATCAGCCAGCATAAGTGAAAAAAGAAATCATTCTTGATAAAAAATTTGAACGAACTTGTGCCATTGCTGTTCTCCGCTATGTTTTAAACGCCAGCTCAAACCTATCAGGAAAACCTAATTTCATTACTACCTTCACCATTGGCTTGGTACAGCGCATATTAATCATCTTCACTTCAATTGCAACCTTAAGTAGGGGACATGACAATACATATATATATTTACATATATATTGATATTGTTTTTGCTGAAATGGCGAAAAAGCAATTTTAGAATCGAAAATCGGTAGTAATCACCCGAAAACGTTGAGAAAACAATTATCGATCGTCGACGTTAATGATTATTTTTAGAGAAATTGTAGATAAAGCTAGCGTGCGAATGATTGACTAAGCAATTTGTCCCCGTATTTTGGACACAGACTTTGCAATAAAAAATATTTTTTTAAAACTTTGCTGATGAACGTTTAACATCGTGGCAAGAAGGCATCGCTGCAATGCTTCAGTCCATATATTCATCGAACGCGGCCTACGTAATTGTCACCTCTTATTGAGGTTAAGGAGAACAATGAGCAGATAATGAATGAAGAAATAAATGTAAAATCACTGAAGCATTTGCAACTTACAACTAACTCACAGCGGACAATAGATAACAAAATTCCATATGACCGTGGAGGAAAGTGTACAGTGGGAACAAGTGTATTAATATCACTAAACAAGTTATGACAATTGGATTAACAAAGCCCTGAATAACAAAAAAATTTTATTTTTCTAATCAATTTCTCCTTTTTTTTTTTTTAACTCGAACACGCCTTTCTCAACATTTCTCAACATTTACATTTTCTATGTGGATAGAATTGACATCAGCGAGGGAAAAAGATTATTTTTTTTTTTTAATATATCATAAACATCTTATAACTTACTTACGAGTTAACAGAATTACTACTCCCTTATCTTTTCATGATGACTAGAACACCATGCATACCAATGGTATGTATTAAGTTGATTTGCGTTGAATTGTTCTAATGCCCAGCACCGAAGTATCGCGGTGTACTTACTTTGTTGAGACGTTTGCAACGCTTAGAAGGAAACACTTACAAGCTACATGCATTTTTGGATATAAATATTAAATTCTAAATTGATCCAGGTCTGTTTGTTTGTTTGCTCATATTATACCCTTCACAAGTCGCAATAATATGCGGCGACCATTGTGAAAACGCTGAAAAATCTTCTATGCAACTTGTTGTTGTGTTGAGAATGAGGCAAATCGAACAAGATCGAAACTCCTACTGCACGATAAATACGAAGAACATCTCCTTCAATAAAAATCCCCGAATATAGACATTAGGCAAGGGTTGACATCTGTAAAAAATGAAAAAAAAAAAAAAAATCGGCCATGCCCACTTCATTCAATTTCATAGAGATGCGAAGTTTTACTTAATCCCGTGTTTTTATTTATCTTTAAGATAAAGATGAAAGTGTGCGAAAAATTCGGCCACAATCGAATATAATTTGCTCAATTGTTTTTCCTTTCTTGCTCACTTTTATGGAACAGTTCTCTTAACTCAATTTATAAAGCAACCTGTCATCCGGAATTTTTTTTTGTGAGATTGGTTTTTAGCTAAAGTCCTTGTCATTATCCCCGACTGCATACTGATATGTTTGCAACGATTTTTATAAGCCTTACATTTGATTTCTAATCTGTTATTGTATATGTTTTGTAGAACTTTTGTTGGTAATTAATTCCATTGTCATTACGGCTTTTAAGAATAATTATTTATACACACACATACATACACATACAGGCAGAGAGAGGGAAAGAGAGAGAGAGAGAGAGAGAGAGAGAGAGAGAGAGAGAGAGAGAGACACGTCTGGTTTTGATCTCTATGAAGTGATCTATGATGTACCTATTATAGCGTTGCCGTAATGCGTTCTAATTTTACGCTTAATACGCTGTTGGTTATAAATGAAAAATTTTCCATTTTGTTTAGTAAATATCAGGTGCCTTCATAAACGAAGGTAATGATAGCCACTTGAATCTTTAAAGGATTTTTCCAATGTTTATTAGGTTTCTGCGAAATACCTTGCAGCAGCTGAACATATTTAGGTAATGTAGGTAAGCACTTAACTTAAGTGAGATATATATTTTAAGCTAAGAGAGCTCGCACATCAAACACAGATTTGCCTTCAACGACAAAAGTGCGAACAACGACCAAGTTGAAAAATATATTCTTTGTTCTTCAAAAAAAACCAAGGCATAAGATATGAGTTTAATAAATGAAATTGAAGATATTCCGGAGTTTCTCAATAAAGATAAATCCTTCGAGAGTGAAAATCTTGATTCAGGATGTTTATCAGATGCCTCTGACTCATCGCTCGATCTTCCCGGTAAGTCTATGCAACGAGATGGTAACGGCAGCGATAATGAAGACAAAAAACTAAATACTGCCATCAGTAAATTAATGACTGATTCCGGCTTTGAATCGCATAATGGAAACGAGGAGAAAGAAGTAAATGATGAGAAAATCGCTGAAAATGAAGCAAGAACCTTAATTAATACAGATCAGCCTTCAGTCAAGGAAGACTCATCAAAATCGTCGACTAACTGGACTGACTGGTATCAACAGGACGACGATGGTGATACCTTTTTGCATTTAGCCTGCATTATGAAAGATGAAAATCTAGTTAAAACAATCTTATCTAAGACTCCTCACTCTTGCCTATACGATATCCTTAACGATGATTGCCAGGCGCCATTGCATTTGGCCGCCCTAACTAAACGACCAAATATTTTGAGAATGTTGCTGCTGGCGGGAGCTGATCCAACCGTACGCGATCGTCGAGGTAATACAGCATTACATCTTGCTTGTCGGTCTGGCGTGGTAGAATGCGTTGATTCTTTGATTAAACCATTTTATAAAGATGAGATAGAGGAAGCTTCGCATCAATATGAGCATCGAAATTTTTCTATTCCTCTCTCTCAAGATTTAGATCTTCGCAACTACAACGGCGAGAGCTGTGTTCATGTAGCCGCCAAACTGGGATTCATCGACATCTTGCATCGTCTCGTTTCGCATGGAGCTGATATCAATGCCAGAGAAAAGAAATGCGGACGTACACCTTTACATATTGCCATCGAACGCGGCAATGAAATATTAACGGAATTTTTATTGAACGAATGTAATAAAAAAATAGATTTGGAAGCGATTACTTTTGGTGGTTTAACAGCTTATCAAGTAGCCGGTAAACTTGAAAAATTGGATTTGCAAAACATGTTGGAAAAATGCGGGGCCGAGATATTGCAAGTACCGCAAAGTGAACAATACAACAGCGATTCGGAATCAGACTCGGAATCGGATGATACTACGGATAATGCGAGTGATCCTGCGTCTGGTTTACCCGTTTTCGAAGATGGCCATATCAAAATAGCAGACGCTTTAATAGTCGGACCTCTCTAATTCAATGTACTTTGCATGTACGAAGATGCCTAAATACGCGGTGCTTTTGCTTAATTCTTTTAAAATCAACAGTTTTATAGCGTATGTACGAATTCAAAAATTTGCAAACATATAAACAAAATACATAGACACATAGATAAGATACACATATTGACGCACAAGATATGAACCCATGAAAATTGAGAACATTTAAATAAATTTGAAGAGATCTCTAAGTGAGATAAGCAAGCAATCAGTGAAAGGCACTTTTGCCGGATCATAAAAGAAGAAGAAGAATGTGTGGAATCAATAAATTAGTATTTTTTTTATTTTTTTTTTAAATTTTGATTACCTGTGAACAGTTTTCCGAAATGAATTGTGACTTTGCTGAAATCATCTCCGGTTAAACAATTTTAGTATATTCCGATTTTGAGGAGATTCACAAAATGCGCAGCAGATGCGCTTTATTTAATCGTTAATCCGTACAAAGTTCCTGAGTTAGAGCAGTCAGGTAGTCGGTTTATTAGAGCCTACTTACAAACAAAGGTAACTAACTACAATTTCGAAACAAACTTTGCAATACATTTTGTTCGATTAATTACCGAATGTGGAAATGTAGAAATTTAATTGATGTCCGAACTATGCCCTAAATGTCAGTCGTTTTTTTTTTTGTTATTTCGACCTTTGTTTACAAGAAGGTTTTTTCCGTTCTTTTTTTTTTTTTTAATTTCTTGATATAATGAATCATATTAGACAGCATATCTACAAACACAAAAACTATGAGTAATTGATGTAATGATGTTAAATGAATCAACTGATTACAACAGTGCAGGTATTTGAAATGCAAAGACAATAAATCGCAAATGCTTGTTACTATCGTTTATTATAGATTATTATCAAAGAGCATTATCTACGGAATCTATTAATACATGTATATTCGTCTACACTAATAAATACATATGCTTCGATTTGGGACGAGATTGCTAAACAAGTTCGCACATGTATGTACTTCTCGATAATATTTGAGAAATCTCGCATATTTGAATATATCTGCTTTTAGAGTAAAGAGAATAGAAAAAAAGATAATCTTTTAAAAGCTAAAATAATAATGAATATGGAAAATGTAAGAATGTATGAATTAGAGGAGAGAAATATGTCGCAAACACAGGCATTTTCTACACGAATAAGGTCTATTTATTTTTTTTTTCAAATCCAAAATAATATAACACGAATATGAAAAAGTCCACTCAAAACACTATAAAGTTTTCTTAGCGACCACCAATTATTTGTATAGATTTTTCAACATAATACGAATATAAGGCTATATCGTAATCAATTCATTTGCCTTTGAGTGCCAATACGTTAAGTACTAGCTAGATATGAAAAGTTGTTTGTCATTATTTCAAGTCCTTAGGGCCCTTATTAAATGCAATATTTAGCGACATCGCAATCAATATCTCTTCAAGTTTTAAATTATAGGGCAAGTGTGAAAAGTTCGCAAGCCATATACAATTTTCTTACTTACTTACTATTAATTATTCCGATAACTTATTCGTACTTTCTTCATTTAAATTTATGGCCCATCAAATATTTCTGTCGAGCAAAGGGTTTTCCCGGCATATAATGTCTTTAAAATATTTCATCATTTTTCGTATCACTGGTACTGGTATTTTTACACCTATCACCAAAAAAAAGGGAGATGTTCGGAGCATATGCTCATTTTGTTAAAATGACTGCTGCAAGAGATGCTATAAAGTGCATATGTATTATTGATTAGGATCAAATCGTGAATCAACTTAGGCAAGAGTGTCTGTCTGTCCGTTTGACACACCGCCAATCGCAAAATTTGAAATATCGGCTAAATTATTCGCAAAAATTTGCGTAGCTTCGTGCACACAGGCTAATATAGAAAATGAATGATATCATCAGTCAAGGGACCCGCCTATAATGCATCATCAATTGAGAAAACCTTTGCTGCAAAAGACCGGGAAGCGTCAGCGTTTTCAGTTTTTTTTTTTTTTTTTTTTTTGCGTGTTTACGATATAGATTGTAGATACAAAATATTCGGCCACAACTGACTATAATATTTTCACTTAATTAAAATTGAAATTTATTATGTAAAATTCTTTGTTATAACCATTAATAAAAGTTACCATCTCATGAAATGGTAGTTGCAAGCTGCTCGCTGTTTGATTCTAAATAAGGGATTTGTTTGGGAAAATTATCGAATAAAAGAATTTACGACTACGGAAGGATTAAAGATTTCTTTTAAGAGACGGCAGTCGTTTAAGTAAATAAAGAAGAAAGCAATAGTATCAAATTGTGAGTAAAACTGGGCGTATCATTTAGGGATAGGTATCTACGTAAAGTATCTAATAGTCTGCCTAGCCCGACTATAATATTTTCATTTGTTTTTAATATAATAAAATAAGGTATTGTATGGAAGGCAATCGCCGAAGTGATTCGATCCCATCCGTTTTCAATATGATTCTTTCTTAGGTTAAAACATGTCAATGCACTAAATTTCATCATAACATTTCAACCGATCTGTCGATTGAACGCAAAAAATATGAACCGGCAAACAAGCTTAAATCAATTCAGAAATTGATTTGGATTCAATCGTAAAAACATATTGTCTTTCTTATAGTGTAGTATACGGTCAGAATATCATGAAATTTTGGCACTTATCAGTTGAAGCTTGATGCTATCGAACCATCACATGGGTTCCATCAATAGTTATTCCAGGTCTTTGTGTCATCCTACATTGAATATTGAACTTATTGTTATATTGTAACATAGTATGTCAGGTTTAGCTTCCCTCTTAAGTCGTTTTGGGCAGCATTACATATAACCGCACAAATTTCATACATCTTGCACTACGCGCAGTATAGAGTATAGAGTAGTGCGTTGAATTGTTATTGGGCTGAGGCGGTGATGTTTTCCAAGCTTGCTTGAAAATCGGTGTATTTGTAATAAAGACCCTTTGTCATTGCCCCTCTGGAGATTCCTATGTCCAAAACGTGTTATACTTTGGTTGAGCAATTGTTGATAAAATCGACGAAACTGAGGAGGATCGACACGATGCAGATCAAAACATTCGGGATTAAAAAATACATTTAAAACAGTCCCAAATGGCTTGGTCCCGCGTGAGTTAACAGTGAAAAATTGAAAGAGAGGGCGATGAGAAAGAATATAAGTCACATTTGGGAACAAAGTCTGAAAAAGATGGTATTTCGACATAGATGAAGCTGCACAAATAGTGGCAAAGAGCGAGTTGCTGTTAAACAAAGCTTTGTGTTTGGTGGAATTGTAAAGGAATTGTGCATCACGATATGGTTTAACCTGACTCGGTGATTGATTACACTTACACAATTATCAGTAAGCAATTATCGTCAAGCTATTTGGACAAGCGTTTAACAAGACCCAGCAATCGCAGTTTGCATTTTCCAATTTATTTGAACGAAAGAGAAAAGAACGAAAGCTTCTTGCATTTTTTTTAGATATAGTTTCATAAAATTTAATATGAACCATGTAACCAAATTATCTACGTTAGATTGAAGGAGATACATGTGCGGTTTAGGATCGTCAATGTACCTTAAGATGGTGGTTGGGTTTAATCATCCAAAGGAGATCATTGATGTATAGGAAGAATGAAAAGTGTTCTAAGTGGGCCGTTTCATTATGAAATATATATAAAGAATGTATGCGAAAAGCAAAGACGAGTCTGTCTTGATAGGACATAGGAAACGAAAAAGTTGTGCAGAACCCCCTGAATAATTTCTTTTCGAATCCGCACATATTCTCGTATCTTTCTTTTCATCTATCTTAGCTGTAGTAATTGCTTATTTTAGCCACTAACCCCGATAATATATTCGACAAGAGAATTACACTTTAAAAAATTTTCATAAAATCATAAGATTCCTACTCGCAATAAGCGGTATTTGATACAGAAAATCATATTTATATATATATATATATATATATATATATATGAAGCTCTACATGAATGTGTACAAGACAAATTTACGTAAAAGAACAACAACTAAAAATTACAACGTGTACGCAGAGAATATAAAAAGAAAAGTTGGCCAATCCGACCAGCAAAATAACAATCAAAGTCGAGAAGTCAACAATGACAATGATTTAGATAATTTTATTTATTATGCCCTAGAGGAATGGTCTATATGAATAAACATACATGAGCTTGGTGTGCATGCATGAGTGTACTTGAAAACATACGCATTAACATTTCATATGGTTTCTGAAAAAAAGAGCTGAATCGACTCCCCATTGATTTTATGTTTCAAGTGTTTCAAGTACAAGGAGGGTTGTTTTGAATGTATACGGCATATATTGGTGAGAGATCGCTTAATATTTTCGGTCAATGTCTGAACAAGAGAGAACATCATATAACAATTTTTGCTTTTGCATGTAAAGGTCGCAGATGTGACTGTTATATCAGTAAAATCACGCATGTAAGTAAACGAATAAAAATAGTCTTCGCAAGTGCATAACAAACATTTTTGTATGCATATCACGTCTCCTTTTGCGGTTACCTTGAAAAATTTACAATAGAATCATAAAAACGAAAAAATTTAATTCAGATGAAGTCCAATTTTTAAATACCTGTCACGGGCCAAATACAATTTGCAGTTGCATGGATACATAAATAGGATACATTTGGCTCACTTCAGTTGCGTTTTTTTTTCCTTCCTGGCACAAATTAACAATATCTCTATAAGAATTAACGCAACACCAGTAATTCATTTAACAAACAAAAGAATAAAGAATGGAGAATAACTTCATCACAAGTTTTCCAAGCTCGACGAATCTTTACAACTTTCGGATAGTTTTTATTGCATGCATTTTTTGCCTCAATCACTTAATCACTTTTAATTTCTTTGTACATAACTTAAATTATATTTAAAAATTGGAATAGTATTTTAAATATTTGTGTTTATTACTATGGTGAAGTATGTGCTATTTATATGCCCACGGCTGTGTATACAAGCGTTGGGAGATTAAATGAAAAGCGATTTGCTTGTGTGTATCGTCTTTTTATAAAGTCATGTTCTTATATAATTTCGAAGCAGTCTGCAGATTATTTTTTCTCAAATCAATTCAGAATTTAATACTAATCCAGAGTATACCATAGACTCTAAAGTATCTGTAAAGCCTATCCCTGTGTGTTGCAGAAGAGTCAAAAAAGTGAATA